AAAAAACAGGTGGGGTCACATGGGGAGTGATCTGGTCATTTGGGGTGTTGTCCTCAGAAGGAATTCATACACTTCTTGTGATTCCCTGGTTAGCTGATTGCCAAAAAAATAAAAGAGCAAGACTTGCCTTTCCCCAGTCACTAAATTCCTGTCTTGCCATGTGATCTTAGCACGGCGCCATCTGCCACGATGTGATGCAAACAAGAGGGCCTTCAACAGAGGTCAAATAGGACTTTCCAATCTTGGACTTCAACTCTCTCAAACTGCGAGCTAAATAAACTTCAGTTTTAAATTACCTTCCTGCAAGTATTTCATTACACCATTGAAAACTAGATGAATACATGAAGTTTCAGTGGATTATTGCATTTTTATTATCAATCTGTACATTTTCCTACCCTCTCCTTCCAATTTTTACAGCGACACTCAATCACCAGCTCTCTCCTCTTACCATATGCAACAAGAATACAATAGAATATTAAAACCCTTGCCTAGCGGTGGAGCTGAATTGAGCAAGAGGTTTGGGTCTCCTGCCTCTGTACAAAGGGTCTGGAACAAAAACAGAACCCAAACACTTACATCCCTACCTAATTCCCTTCCCACGAAATCCACTTATCTTTAGGATTCGTCATCTGTTTCATTCCAGCTTGTATTCTGGCAGTAATGAAACCAGGTTATGACCAAGGCTAGGGCTTTGGCCTTTCAGCAACATTCTCCCTGCCTCTTATCCCAAAAAGTTGCTACTTCCAGTAGCCCTTGCACTAATTGACCCAGAGCTCTCCAACGCATACAGCTGAAAACCCAGTGCCGTGTACTCCCTTGGAGCTTTGTCTACCCTTGACGCAGATTCCACTGGCCTGTCTTTGTGGCTTACACTGCTTCTGTCTGCTGCTTCTCCTGAGGAGGGTAAGAAAGAGAGCGCCATACAGTCGTTTTGCTGTCCTACTTTGTTTTACAAGCCTCTGCCTCCTAACAACAGGTCTTGCTGGTTTCTCAGTTTATTTCTGAATACATATCAAACAAAAAAACAAGCTAATTAAACCAAATTTTCGGCATTTTAAACTGTCTTCAGATTCCCATCAAGTAGAGCCAGATGTTTTGCTTTTACTTTTCCCCCCTTAATCTATACATACACAACAGAATAAGATCTTGTCAGACAAATTTTAAATAACTCACTCTATACATACCAAATTTAAAACCTACAGTCTTTTTATGTATCACAGATACTCAATGCCTGGAGTAATAGCACAGGACAATAAACTCTGGAGCTGTGTGGCCAGCTGTTTCAGAGGTTGGGGGCAGAGGATGGAGATGGAGCGCCTCTTTAGAGCACATCACCAAAGCTGCAGATATGACACAAAAGTTCCCCACTCCCAAAAGAAAAAAAAATCCCCCCAAATACTAGGATAATTTATAGAAGGGCTATATGCTTACAAAAGCACTTCAGCAGGGCTTAAGAAAATGAAACAAAAGGAAAGCGAGTGCAAAGGACACTGAATTTTGAGTAAGAATGGGCTCAAACACTTTAAAACCAAAAATAATCTGTGTACCCTAGAGCTTGGAAATGTCTGCCTCGGCAGATCACAATTGTGTAGCCATGTGTCCCTGACGACTAAAGAGTGTGTTTCAAGAGGATTACCTGTTGGTGCAGGCTGTTAATGCTGACAAATGTGCATAGTTTGGAGGGCAGGTGCTTTCTAGAGCTTTTATTTGCTATGTGGCCTTTAATGTACTTAATGCTATTTTAATTCCATTTCTACTAAGACCCTAATTTCTCTAAGACTTGGTCTTGTGAACTGGAGATTTGCCAACTACAGTAACTTCCAAGAACATCACTGTGAGATACTCTTATTGCAAAACACCTACTACAGTTTTCTTTCCATCCTCCTACCCTTATTGCTTCTACAATCTTGCCCTCCCTTTTAATTCCTCAGTTAGTGCTGCCTACCCTCAAGTCATTCAACCATTTTTTTCTTTTCAGTTTTCATGGCCTCTATTCATATGGAGGACCATTTGCTTGCTTTTGATTATTATCCAGTGTCCCTGAAATCCTGGTCTTGGTTTTAAAAACATAAAAATAGCCTAATCCTCTATATATTTTTCTGCAGTGAAATTCTTAAGTCTTAATATTTTTACACTGTTTTGATTTTAGTTAATGTTTGCCATGTAACTAATGCAAAAACTCTTCCAGAAATCACTACCGTCTGTTACCAGAGAGAGGAAGGGCCTAAGTTGGGTATGATGTTCCATCTTTTAATCTACCACAATTTAGGAGTATACATTTTCCAAGCTTCAGCGTTTCCAGCATTACTGATTACCATGCACATTCACTGATAACATCCAGCCACCAGAAATGCAGCTACCTTGGGAATCTGTAGAAACCTTAGGAAAACAGAAATTTTCCATGGATTTGATGATACAGTCCAGAGTTTCACTGCTAACTTATTATTGATCACAAATGTGTGCCTCAGTGGGAACTAAAATTTACACTTCCTAGTAGGCAACATTTAGGCCTTGACTATTGCTAGTCAGCAAGCTAGCCAAACCATCAATGCAGGTCTAAATACTGTACATGGAATCCATAATTCAAATGCTCAGGGAGAAGGAAGGCCAAGGCACTAGCTGCCAATGAGATCACTGATTTTAAATCCTTAGTATGTGTACACTATATGCTCGTATTATTCCATTTAGACACAGTGCTTCTGATTGAGTATTTTTTATGTATGTTACAAAATTCTTCAACAAGATATTTTGAATCTCCAATTTATATGGCACTGCATTTCCTTTTCTCTTTAGAAGAGTTTAATCTAACTAAACCCTACAGTTTAAAAAAAAATTCAGGACGTGATAAATATTGATTAACCTTGGGAACCTATAAGTAAACATAAAAACAACTTCCTACTCTAAGATCAGGTTTAACAATGTGTTAATAGCTCATAATGAAGATAGCATCCATAAGTTAATCAACCCATTAAGTTGGGATCACAAGTGTCAAATCAAGTGCAGTCTACTAATTTACTGACCCTTAACGGGTCAGCAAGATCTATAACCCAAAAGCTGATCTTTCTCCTTCTGCTAGAGCCACTCTGGAAGCCAATTCACTTCCTTCCCTGATTATGCTCTCTGACCTGGCATGGGCAGGAGTCAACATAAAATCCATTTATGAGAATGTGCTTGCGGTTACTGACTAATGCAATCTCAAGCTCACTGGTGAGTTAAGTGTCTGGGCAGAAGCTCTTTATAGAAACACCAGCTTTGTTTTTATTATGTCCACATAACTGACAATAACCCTATCCCATCTTCCTTGGCAGTGTCTGATTCCAGCAAGCTCTAGGTTCTCGAGTTGGCTAAGGAAGGCCTGTACCAACTCTACACTCCTCAGTGAAGCACAAGTTTAGTTATTTCTGATCCAATGACATTTCAAAACCTCGGAGGCAGGATGATGAGATCAAGGTTATTACTGCTATATAACGGGTGTGAAGTAAGCTTTATTAATGATGATGTGAACCGGATTAAAAAGAGAGAGAAATCGAATTAGTCAAATAAACAAGTTATCTGTTATCTAATGTTTGTCACTTTCAGAAAGAAGGAGAACGAAACTAGGGGTATACCTCATTCCACATGGTCCCTCCCAGGGGGCAGAACAAAAATTCAGAATCAAGACTCCGCTCATTTGAATTGTGTGTGTAAAAATGTACTAACTGCTGTGAATATACAAAAGATGTTTTCAGTAGCAGCATTTTCTTTCTTAGGTGAGAAAGCAACTCACTCTGCTAGGATTGTCAATGTCCATTAGCCAGCTATCAGCAAGGGAAGTTAGACTCTCCAAGGGGTTGTAGACACAAGTGCAAGCGGGCCTGGTTCTCTTGCTCTACTCCCCAGCCAGTCTGTAAATGCACCAAACCAGTCCCACTCTGGCCAGTAGACAGTTCGGGATTGTGGGTTCCCCCAAGATAGGACAGACAAGTATTAACTGAGGTTCCGGAAGGGGGAGGCAAGCAAAATGAGCAAATCACTGCACATACTGACCATTAACAGCAATAAAAAGTTTTACTGGAAGGGCAAATTGAGCTTAACTTGAAGGACCAAGGATGTTTTTCCTTTCTACAAAAGAAACATTGCAGTTGCAAGTTCATGGTGTTTGAAGGATTCTGCAGAGAAAACAGTCTTGGCAGGGAAGCCAGGGAGGGCCCTGGGTGCTGGGGTGCTGCCCTCTCACTTTTCACCCATCGCCTTTGTTTGTTTTCCTCCCACCATCAGCTAGTCTCCCAGTACTGCCTTGCCAACCTTAGCACAAAGACACTAGCCTAAAAGCCTCTGTGGAATTGAGTTCCACCCTGAGAAATAGTGACTGGGACCACAGACATGAGGAAAAGTCAGAGGCGAGATCCTCCGGCAAGGTCAGCCTTTAGAAGGTGACCCCTGGCACAGGTTCCCCCCACCCACCCTCTCCACCCCAGCCTAGTCAAAGAGAGCAAAGGAGGGCGAGCGGGAGACTGAGGGGACAGGTAGTGGACACTGCAGGAGGCTGCCAGACCTTGAGGCCAGAAGGCGGTGGCCCTTCCAGAGGTCATCTCAGCCTAGCACACGGGCACTTCCCGCGGAGTCACTGCCCCACCTCCAGGGCTTGCAGCGGAGCTCAAACTAAGGTTAGGGATGCGGTGGCGCAAGGCAAGGACGCAGGGTGTGTCGCCCGTTTGGGATGGAGCAGCGGGGGAGGACCTGACCCCTTGAGAGGAGACAGATCAGTGCTGGGCCGCCCCTACCCCGGCTCTCCCCACCTCTTCCCCTCGGCTGCTTTCGCACGGCGGCGGCGGCGGCGGCAGCAGCAGAGGAGGCAGCAGAACAGAGCCACCGCGTCACCGTAACCCAAACGGAGCCCAGCTGCGCCGGGGGCAGGAGAGGGGGCGGGGGGCGCGGGGCCAGCGGGGCGGGGAGGCGGCGGTGGCGAAGGGGGCGGCGCGCGGCGGCCGCGCACGGGGCCCGCGGCCCGCGTCACTTACCCGGGCAGGGCGCGGGGGCAGCTCGGCCGACTCCTCCAGGCCCGCAGCGGTCGGGGCCGGCAGGCGGCACCGGCCCGGGCGGCTGCCAAATGTAAACAATCCGCCATGATTGCTTTGTTTAGCTAATTGAACCTGCCGCCGCTGTCGCCCGAGACCGGCGCTCCTCGCGCCCGGCTCTCCCCTTCCCCCTCGCGCCCGCGCTCATTTATTTATTTGTCTTCCCGTTCTCTCTCCCCCCCCACCCCCCACCTCAGTCTTTCCCTCTTTCTTTAGTCTGAGGAACTGCTTTTAGTGGAAGTCGAGGCAGTGGAATGTTTGGTGCGAAGCGCGCTGGTGATTTTTTAAATATATACATACATATCTATAAATACAGGTGAAATATAATACCCAATTTTAGGCCGAGGTGCAGTTACTCAGAGGGGGGACGCTGTTTTCCCCTTTCCTTCCCACTCCGCCCGAGGACCGGGGAATTCTCTGTGGAAAGTCCCAGAGAAAGGTGGTGCCCCTCAGAGTCACCTTCCCTTCCCGCCGGAGTGTGGCGGCGCGGCTCGTGGGCCGACCGGGACTCGGCCGAGACTCCCGGCTTCACTCGGAAGCCCCGAGCAGTCGGCGACTTCCGACGGGCGCACCGCGTAGCCGTCGCCACGCCGGGGCCGGCGCACCGGGGCGCGCTCTACTGGGGGCGCGGCCCCGGAGCTCGGAGTCGGCTCCTTGAGGAAAACGCCGGCGTTTGACACACACTGCTTCCACACGCTCCAAACTCAGAGGAACTGCGCGGAGCAGGGCCGCCGTTATGGTAACTATCGGCCCTGATGAAATTGTTGTTCAGATATTGAGGAAAAGATCGATTCTGAGCAGATAAGCTGTTTGAAACTCTGAGGGACTGTTGTAAGTCTTGAGAGAGAGTGCTTTAACAGCCCTTTGTGTCTGTGTGGATGCACATACCTTGGGCCTGCGGCCTTGGAGTGTTATTTGGTTCTGAGCCGATTTAGGCTGAGATTCAGGGCGATCCCAGTAGAAAAGTTGCAGCTATCGGATCATTTATTTTTAAAAAGCACTCCCCCAATTTGAGTTCTATTTATACTCATAGATGATGGCCAAAAATTGATATCATATATTAATTGAGAAGGTTGAAATTATACACATTTTGAAGTAAAACTTCCCCTTAGATTTTCGTATTAATGGCATTGACAGAAGCTATTGCCTTGCTTCTTTCTGAGCCACACGGGCACTACTGAGTTATGTCACCCTCATCAGTCACTTACAGGCCACATAATATATTGATTGTGTGATTGCAGGGGCCATCTGGTCCAATCCAAAGATTTGAACTTATGAGTGTTTGCATTGAACAGGGAATGCCTGTGAATGTCTTAACCATTATTTGGTTGAATAATCGGTGTTCAAACACTTGATTACATAGAGAGAAAATGATGAAAATGACTTGGTTCAAATCCCTTGTTTATACATGGCTTTAGTCTGTTGCCTCATTAAAGTTCAACAAGGGTTATAATCTTGAGATGCGCCCCCTTACCTGTGATGTTCTTCAGGCCAAATTTTACAGTTTTCCCCAAATGATGGTTTAAACCTGACCTTATAAAGCCCACCTTGATGTTTACCTTCTCTGTGCATTGCTTCTGGCATACAGTACTTCTGAGCCTCAGAACTGGTGACAAAGGCCCTCAAGTAGGGGGCTACTATATACCTGTACAAAGTTCATGAAATAAGCATTTTGTTACACAGAAGCTAAGCTTAAGGTGGTAGTTTAACATCCAAAAAAATATGTGAAATAAAATAACAAATATGCTTTTCATTAGCTTCTTTTAAAGAAGTGGCCTGCTGATGCAGGATTGCATGAACTTTTTCTAACACATAGAATTCTGTGTGCTTGTACTCATTCCCTGTTCATTCAGGTTCTTTTCGTGTGGCACTTGACTGTGAACTGAATTTCATTTGATAGTCAGAGGGAGAGGGGCAAGTGGAGCTGCTCTTCCAAATTCTACCTGTCATTAACCAGGTTAAACTGCATTATAGATTTGCTTGTGTCTATTTTTCCTTCTAAGTTAATTATGTTCTCTAACTCCTTAGAGCTCACAAAATGTTACATACAAGAAATATGTTGAAAAATTGCAAGATGATGCTTAGCTAGAGTCTCTATTTAGGTTCTAAGAATAGATCATTTTTTATGACCCCCAGTTAATCACAGATCTCCTGTTCGCACCTGTGATTCTTTCTCAAATGAACATGAGTCTGGCTATGTGCATTGCTTTGCCCAGAGGAAGCTGACTAGCAGTTACAATAAAGATTGCAATTTTGGGCAAACTATGCTCCACGAGCAGTGGCAGCATCCCCTTTGGGCACTGGCTTTAGTCCCCGTTGTACCACTTCTACTCCAGCACCCTGCTTGTGGCCTGGGAAAGCAGCAGAGGATAGGTGAAGTCTTTGGGCCCTTGCAACCACATGGGAGACCCAGGAAAAACTTCTGTCTCCTGGCTTTGGATCAGCTCAGTTGCGGCTGTTGCAGTCATTTGGGGACCAAATCGGAGATCTCGTGTACAGATGGAATATCTCTTTCTCTTTCCCTTTATGTCTGTTTCTCTTCATTAAAAAATAATGAATATTCTTTTTCTTTAAAAAAAAAAAAGGCAATAAAGGGTTGTCCTTTTGGACTGTTCTCTTTTGGAACTCAGCTGCCATGCTCTGAGAAAGTCAAGTCTAGACTATCCTCCTGCTAGGGAGATGGATCCAGCCACCAGCTGGATGCAAAGGTGTGAGTGACCCCAGTCAATACCACGTGGATCAGAAGAGCTATCCACTGACTTCTTGGAGACAAGATGATTATTGTTCAAACTGTTAACTTACAGGATAGTTTCTGAGGCAGCTATAGGTAAATGATATAATAGTGGCTGGTTTCAAGGGTTAGGGATACATGCAGGGGACTGCTTAAGATACAGAATCTTCAAGAGGACATCTGGTAGAAGAAAGCAAACTGAAAAACTGCAGTAGAACCTCATTTGTCTCCTCTCAGAGTTCCAATGACATGGTTATTGCAATTATTTAAGAGCCATACTAGAGAGTTTTTGTCATCACTTTAGAATCAAAATAGTCTTTTTTTTTTTCTTTTCTTTTTTTTTTTTATTGTTGCTTACATTATATTATGTAGTACAGTTTTATAGGCGCTGGGGATCCCCCCCACCCCTCCCATACCCCTCCCCCCATGGTGGATTCCTCCACCTTGTTGCATAACCATAGTTCAAGTTCAGTTGAGATTCATTGCTTGCAAACACATGCCTAGCATAAAGTTCAGCATCTTATTGTCCAGATAAGTTCAGTGGCCTCTTGGGGAGACCTTCTATGGTCTGAAGATAGGTCTAACAGAGTAAAGATCCAGTCAGTTAAAAGCCCCAACAAGGCCTCAGTATCATTATACAACATTATGGAATTAATTGACATAGTATTGGGTAAACAATATGTTAAAAATAATGCAAGTTCCATTCTTCGAAACATCTGGGTTGAGACAGTATCAAAATAGTCTTTAAGGCTGTGAAAGGAGTTCAGAAACAGGCTATGTTCAAATCCCAGCTCTGCCCCTGGTGGCAAAGCAGGGTAAATGGATGTTAATTTGTCCCAATCATGAGGATTTTAAGAGGTTAGGCATATGTAAAATATATTTTGCCCTAGAAAATTGCTCAAGTAAGAAGAAGAGAAGAAATGAATTAAACATAGCAGCTTTGAATTTAGACACAAACTCAGTTCATGAAAGAGATTACTTGGTTACCTGTAAGTGAAGTTATCACCTTATGTTCAGAAATCCTTGTCTGTGAGTGAGCCACATAAGGACCTTGAGCCTATGCGGTTTGATTTGTTTCCCTGTATCTGCAGCTGCTATGAAGACACGAGCAAATATATCAGTTATCCAGACCTTAAAGGAGGTTTAGGAAAAGAGAAGAAAGTAGATGTATTGGACTGGCAGAGGACAGAGTTTGCTAAACCTGGGAACTTGAATGCTGCTTTATCTTTAAAAAATGAATTCTCATAGACTCTTAATATTATGCTAAGATGTTACACAACCATGAAACAACATCCACACACTCATAAATTATCTTAATCAAATCCAATGCCATTAAAGACCTTAGTTGATTAAGATATCAGTTTACCAAAAGCTAGTTGCATCTGGATTCATGTCTATTGGTCATAAAGGACATTCCAGTAGTACTGTGTGCCTTGTGGTTGCACAGAGCTCACCATTTGCTACTCGGGGTTCTGTGAAAATGTGCTTTGCACAAAGTTCCCTTGCTTCATTTGGCCATCACTTGACATTCATTAAGTTCTTACCAATTTTATTCCAAGATCATTCAAGTTGAAATAGTTAACATCAATTCTAGATATAAATATGGGCTTCAACTTAATCAATATTATACTTACATTTTAAGATCAGAATTAAATTTTAGACTCCGAAAAAGGCTACTATAATATAAACAGCACTGGGATAACAAGAAAATGGTATTAAAAAAAAAAAAGCTTTAGAGTCTAATTACCATGTAACTTCACTTGAGTCCACAGATATTGAGGAAAGATCCATGGTCCTCAAAAAGATTTTTTTGTAGAAATTATAGAATATGTCTGTTCTAATAAGAGAATCTCCTCAGTGTGGCAGTGAAGGGTGGGACTGTGACAGGGTTGCAGTCCAGTGTCTTTCCCATGCTGTGTAACACTGAACTCTGTTATGACAAAGCCTGTCTTCCTTTTGTGCTCTTTGAATTTATTTTCTCTCCCTAATGTTAACTGTATTGATTACTTTCTCCTAAACACATAGCATATAGTAGTTTGTTCTCATGATTTCCCTCAATGATGTTGTCTGTGTTCAAACTATGCTCTTTGATGATGCATAAACTAACTTTTCTGTTATACTTCCCCTTTGTGCATACATTTTTCAAGAAAGGAATTCCTTTCAGTCTCAGGAAATACTTCGGCTTAAGAAAAAAGGCTATTTTTCAAATCCTAAAATAAATACTGCAAGAACCATTCATTCTGCAATTTTGTTTTTGAATAAACGAATATAGGGTTCTA